TAATAATAATAATAATAATAATAATAATAATAATAATCATAATAATTGCCCCTCTTAAAAATGCTAGATGATGTTTATTTGGTTGTAGGAGTAAATCTGAGCAGACATTTTTGGTTTGGAATATGATAAAATTCATCCAGTGTGTATCCTTATCTCTTGCTCAGAGGCAGATGTTTTTTTCCAAACTTGCTTTGACCCAGAACAGGACAAAGCGGGTTTGGAAAATGAATGGATGTGTTAGAAGATGAAGGTGGAAGGAGAATCCAAATGCAGAAACAAAGGTGATGAATACACCAGCAGGTTTTATTAAAGCAAATAAACCAAGACAGGAAACAAAAATAAACCAGAACCAAAGACTCAATTTGACATAAACCCACATAAACACAAGGAGCAAAAGAAACACAGAGACGTACTAATGATACAAATAAATCATGGCTCAGTGCATGCTTCAACTTTGGGGACACAAATGAATAATAGTACAACAAAAAATAACAAATACTGAAGTTTTGTTTCACCTACTTTAAACAGTAACCCTCTGAGAATCAGACAAAAAATGTCCCACCCTTACTCATGGAGAGGTTTTAAACAGTAGATAAATGTAGTYTTTACGTTACGGCAAAGACTGGTTCACCCCAAAGATCCAGTCCCTTGGCGCAAACAGAGTAATGCTGTGTTTGCTGTTAAATGCCAGAAGGACTGTGACCGGTTATTGGGGAAATAAAGCAGCCATTGTTAAAAAGAATGGCCCAACACAGAAGATCAACATCATCAGGCCAGGATCCTGCAGTTTACACTCATCGTTGAACTTTGGCTTGAGAGAGGAGTAAAGGAAGCCATCTTTGTGAAGAGAAACCATTTGTTGTTGGGGTTGGGGGGTCTCCATGTCCATTTGTCCCTCCCCCTCTTACAATGTTGTTATTGCAAGTATGACTCAGCCCTCTTTGAACAACAAGCACCCATCAGGGCACTAACGATCAATCGTTAGGCTGATGGTCTTGATTCCTGATCAACCCCCCAAAGGAGGCATACAGTAAAAATTTAAGACATCTAAAAACAAAAATTAAAAAAACCTAAAGAACCTGACAAGATGAAAGTTGCAGTTGCATTAAATATAAAATAAATAAAAAAACCACGGTGAAACTCATCCAACACTTTTTTCATGAGTTTTGCTTTACTTTCGCTCTTAAAGCTCCTGTCTTTGCAAAAAAACATTTTTTACACGAACTCAGTGCTCCTAAAGATTTGTCATGAGCAATCAGCTTCTGGAGGGTTCTGATCTATAAAATATAGATCTGTTAATGTAAAGCAGCACGTCACAGATGATCACGAGGCTCATTTTGCTGAAATAATGGTTTTAAAGAAGAATGTTTTCCTTGTGTGTTGGAACATTCTAAATTAATCATACTCATGGATTTGGCTGTCAGGTCATGTGTTTTCTGCTGTGAATTACTAAGATGATTGATGCTAAAATGTTAAGGGGTTCTCACTGCACCTATACCAGGGAGCTGCTTACATGAGAAAGTTTGCTAATGTTTATTGTGGCAAATCGACAATTGAAAGCACACTTCAAATTGAATTAAATTTGTGCATTTATTATTTTAAGTTTATGACACCATCTTGAGCCATTCACAAAGCTTCTGATCAGAGCTCTGATCATCTCTCACCAATATCATTAAACATGGATGTTGGTGAGTTAATCTGTTGTAGTTTCCATGACAGGCAGGGTTACCAGAAACGAAATGACCCAGCAAAATTTATCTGGCCCATTTCTGGACCACGCAATGCACACTCGACCCAGATACTGTACATTAAAGAATGATGGCCCTTTGTTAGCCCAGATGTGGTTTAAKAGACGTGGTCCATGTGTGGGCCAGCACCACATAAACCAAACCACAACTGGGCCAGATGTGGCATGCCATCTTAAAGGCAGTGCCATCATAGCCAGGCCTGGCCCATGTACAGTTGACAAACCACTTGCCGTGCCAAACTATCATAAGTGCTGAGTGAGGATGCACTTTCTCACAGGGAGGGGGTTATAAGATCAGGTGTGTGTTGTGTTTGTTGAATATAAACGTAAAAGGAAGGGGCAAAATCACGATAATTATCTACATCTGACAACACTGAGGAACCATTTGTGCATTGTGCATGAGGTGTCTGCATGAACACATTTGAGGCCTCTGCATGCTCCGTCCAAACTGCCAAAATCTGCTCTCATTGTTGTAGGTGCATTTTTTCCGCAGCTTTGAGTCTTCCCAGGAGCTTGGCACGGTGTGTCCCAGGAGCTATGAAAGGTGTGTGAGAAAACAAATGTCAAACAGCCACGTGACCACATATCAGCTGTTTGGCTTTGGATCAAGCATAATAGGCCTTTCATATCCAAATTGGAGAATACACAGCCATTCCTTTGCTGTACCTTTTAGATGACGTACATTTGGTCAGAAATCTTTTCAGTAAAAACTTCATTTGACTGGAATAAAATACCAGAAAACATACAGTAAGAACCAGTGGATCTTTCAAATTATTCTCAAATGCCTTAAATCATGGCTCCTGGATAATCAACTGGGTAGACACTGACTATGGGATTCTTTTATCCATTTTGTATTTTTAATGTATTGCCTTGAATTGTTGTTGTGCTAAATGGCTTTTTATTATTTTGATTCATGCTTTTTATCATATTTTTTGGATTTYTATTTTTTTCCTTCTCTTTAATGAAAGTAACTTGTTTTGTATGTACAGTGGTTTGCAAAAGTATTCATACCCCTTGAACTTTTCCATATTTTGTCACATTACAACCACAAACATAAATATATTTCACTGGAATTTAATGTGAAAGACCAACACAAAGTGGTATACAATTGTGAAGTGGAAGCAAAATTTTACATGAATCAAAACATTTTTTACAAATAAAAAACTGAAAAGTGCGATGTGCAAAATTATTCAGCCCCCCTGAGTCAATACTTTGTGGAGCCACCTTTTGCTGCAATTACAGCTGCAAGTCTTTTAGGGTATGTCTCCACCAGCTTTGCACATCTAGTGACTGCAATTCTTGCCCATTCCTCCTTGCAAAACAGCTCAAGCTCAGTCAGATTGGATGGAGAGCGTTTGTGAACAGCAGTTTTGAGATCTTGCCACAAATTCTCAATTGGGTTTAGGTCTGGACTTTGACTGGGCCATTCTAACACATGAATATTCTTTTTTTTAAACCACTCCATTGTAGCTTTGGCTTTATGTTTAGGGTCGTTGTCCTGCTGGAAGGTGAACCTCCGCCCCAGTCTCAAATCTTTTGCTGACTCCAACAGGTTTTCTTCCAAGATTGCCCTGTATTTGGCTCCATCCATCTTCCCATCAACTTTGACCAACTT